ATAAACAACACTATGGTAAATGGAGAAACAAATTGAAGTTGTCAGGGATTTCATTTTACTTGGATCCACTATCTACACCCATGGTAGCAACAGTCAAGAAATCAGACATCATATCGCACTGGGTAAATCTGCTGCAAAAGACCATTCTGTAAAGTGTTAAAGAGCCAAGATGTCACTTTGAAAAGTAAGTTGTGCCTAACCCAAGCCATGGTATTTTCAATCACCTCATAAGTGTGTGAAAGCCGGACAATGAACAAGAAAGACTGAAGAAGAACTGGTGGTTTTGAGTTGTGGTGTTGGTGAAGAATACTGAAGGTACCATGGACTGCCAGAAGCACGAACAGATCTGTCCTTGAAGAAGTATAGCCAGAATGCTGCTTAGAGGTGAGAATGGCCAGATTTCATCTCTCGTACTTTGGTCATGCTGTCCGAAGGGACCAGTCCCTGGAGAAGGATATTATGCTTGGTAAAGCAGAGGGTCACTGAAAAAGAGGAAGACCCTCAATGAGACAGACTGACACAGTGGCTGCAATGATGGGCTCCAGCATAGCAAGGATTGTGAGGATGGTGCAGGACTGGGCAGTGTTTCATTCTGTTGTACACAGGGTCACTATGAGTCATAGCTGACTCCATGGCACCTAACAACATACCAAAAATGAAACTTTATTTTATTTAAAGAGCTATTTTTGTGTCATTTTTAAGGACCTTTCATTAATATTCTAATTAACGAACCCCCACTTTCACCTAGAAGCACTTGATGGCTGATATGCCCTCCTGTCACTCTGCACCTGGGTGGTACAGAGATGTTAACATGCTCATCTGTTAATCGAAAGGTTGGAAGTTCAAGTCCATGCAGAGGGGCCTCAGAACAAAGGCCTGGCAATCTAGTTCAAGAAAGTCAGACATCAAAAACCCATGAAGCACAGTTCTCTGACACACATGGCGTGGCCACAAGTGGGAGCTGACTCCATGGCAACTGCTTTCTACTCTATCAAGATTTCTCCAGACCCCTGTCACCATAACTTTCCTTGACATCACCTCCTTTCTGTCAGTGGAGTCTACGATCCAGGTCCTATCTGTATTCTGGTCTAAGAGCCAGTGATGTAGATCTAGTCCTCTACACATTTCACAAACAACAGGCAGAGGTCTGTAGTTGCCTTACCTGTCTGTGCTCTAACTGTTGACGATAAACTGGGCTGCTAGCACTGCCCACAATTCTGAGTGCAGCCAACTCAAATAAGCCAAGTTTATGGATGAGCCACACCAGCATCATTCTCCCTTAACTCACTGTAAGAAAGGGACTTAAAATACCACCAGCCTCTACTATCCATTCTGTGAAATTAGGTGTTATTTCCACACTCAGCATAGACACAGTTCTTGGATATCAACAAATCACAGAACGTTTCTAGGTACTGAACCATACAGTAAAATTTCTCATGGAACTTGATCAACCTCGGGGCAAAGAGCTATGACTGTGTTCCTGGAGGTTTCTAAATAAAACGTAGTATTTTATATGCATTAATTCAACTAAATCTGCTCAGCTACTGCATTCCATCCATATGGACCTGACGAAATGATACACTGGTGAGCCTGCCTGTGGCTTGCAGTTTCAAACTGTGATTCTTTAAAAAGGGCAATAAATTTAGGTTCAGGGAAGAGCATGACTTTTCAACCTCTAGATACTTAGCTTATAAAATACAGACCTCAAGATCTCTGTAGTTTGTGTGTGTGTTTGTGTGTGGACAAGTTATGGATGGAGAATGAAAAATGAAAAATGTGTAAATTGGAATTGAGTTGAAAATTGAATTAACTGTTGAGCAATCAATACATATTTTGTTACACAAATATTAAGTTGGATTCAAATAAGAACCAATGATCTAAACCATCTATTTTTCAGGTACCAGTCTTTTTAAATGTCTAAATACAGGTCGATAATATCAGCAAGTGAACTTGGGATAATATTATCTTTTCAGTAAAAATCATCAATTATAGTGTGGCACACATACATTCAAACCATTAATCCTCTTACACAGTGAAAGAAATACAAACATTGAAGGGGGAAAAGATAATGGGAGCTCCCAACACAGTACTGTTGGCTAGGTGAAACCGTGTCCTCATATATTCTGTGAGATGAACACATGCTACTTTGGATATAAAGGGAGATTTGCTAATTGCCTTCCAATTGCAGTTTCTGGTTTTCCATGGTAATTCAGTGGTTAAAGAGCTTAGCTGCTAACTGAAAGGTCAGCAGTTCGAACCCACCATCTGCTCTGCATGAGAAAGATGTGGCAGTCTGCTTCTGTAAAGATTATAGCCTTTGTTGCAAGCAGCCATCTAGATGCAATGATGGGCCTCTCCTTGTCCAGAACAAAGAATGAAGAAAACCAAAGATTCATGGAAACAATTAGTCCTTGTGACTGGTACACCATGAGATCCTCAGCCTATTCGACTATGAGACCAGAGTAACTAGATGGTGCCTGGCTACCACTGTCAACCACTTGGAGAGGGATCTACATAGGAGATCCTGGATAGAGAGGGAGATCAATGTAGAACAAAATTCAAAATCATTTGGGGGAAAAAATGGGGAGGGACCAGGTTTGCCGGTCTGATAGAGCCTGGTGGAACCACTGAGACTATGGCCCCTCGCTGCCCTTCAGGTCTAGAATTGAACCCACATCTGTGGCTTCCAGCCAAACAAAAGACAGGCATATGAGTTGAACAGTTACCTGAGGTAGATACACTCCTTGGAGAGAACAATCATGGGAGAAAGAAGGGCTGTTTATGCACAGGGAAACAGCTCAGGGGGCAGGAGTGCATGGAGGCATGGATACAGGGAAGAGGTAACTATTGGGAGGAAGTGGGAGAGAAGCTGTTGCATTGGGGTTAATTGTAATCAATGTCATGAGACAACGTGTGTGTAAACTGCTGTATGGAGAGTGATTTGCTCTGTAAACTTTCACCCAAATCACAATTGGAAAAAAAAAAAATTATAGCCTTTGAAACTCTGGGGCAGTTCTACTCTGTTCTATAGGGTCACTATGAGTCGGAATCGATTGCATGGCAGTGGGTTTTACTTACTCTGACATAGCTCATTAAAAAAGTTCAGTTGCTAAGTAACCAGCAGAACTTTTTCTAGTTGCAATGTAATTCATGTCAACTCTAGTGACTAGGTAGGTAGATGTTGCTGAATTTTATCCACCAGGAGATACATGTAATACAAAGTGGAAAATCACCTCAAGACTTCCAAATCATCCCATGTGATGCTTTTCTTACTAAGCACAGTAAAGGGAGACACTGGCAAAAATGGTCATTTCCTCCCAGTAATTCAATCTTCTCAGGAATTATGAGTTGCCTGTTAGTTCTACGCAGTCAGAAATTATTGTAAGTTTTTCTCTGTATTTTCATGGTAATTCAATTTCCTTTTCTTCTACTTTAAAAGGAAATTATAATTACCAGTATTTACTGAGAGTAAATGGCTAAGGGCACTTCCATTTCATTTCATATCACTCTAAGCCAAAACAACATTGCTGAGTTAAAATAAAAAAAAGTCATAGGGGAATAGGTCTTAATATAACAGTGTGTTCTGGCATAGAAACAAATAAATTATCATCTGAAACTTGGTATGACAGTTGGAATCACACATGGGAAGACGATTAGTCTGTAACAGAATCATATTACTAAAAGAGTATGTATATAAGTATTTTAACATATATTTGAAGCCAAGAATGTATATGCAATACTAAAATGTACATATACATTATAGCAACACAGATTAACACTGGAAAGCAACACTGCTCACAGAGACATTTAGTCTATTATATAAAAATTAATCTTTTTAAAAAACTGATTTGTATAATACTCTTTATTGATACAATTCTGAATTAAAGGTGCTTTAATAATTCTCTCCTTTTCCTTAAATAAAATGAGAAGGCTACCACCAACTCTCCTTCCAATCCCACCAAGCTTAAAGGGGGAAAATTAGAAGGAAGGAAGGAGAAATAGAGGGAGAGAGGGGAAAAGGTCTTCCTCAATTTTAATAAATAACTTTTATAAGAAATAATTCTTTCATGTGCTCAAAAATAGTATGTCAGGATAGATATTTAGTTACTTTATCCCTGGGACATTAAGAAAGATAAAAATAAATCCTAGGAAATATAACTTGGCTTGTTTCTATCTATTGCAGTGATGGTAAACTTCTCAACTTCCATTGCTACTCCAGAATCTGAGAGATTGGCTCATGCCTCACTAAGAAATCACTCTGTAGTTCTAATAGTAAAGTCTTTGAAAAACCCCAGATCTGCCCTTTGGCTGAGGCTGAAGCTGAAGCTGAGCCTAGGAGAACGGAAAAGTTTCAAACTTTAGAGTTGGGCTGGATTTAGAGAATTGCAAGCTGGGCAATTCTAGCAGGCTAAAGGAGAAAATGTCAGTATGAATAGTTAACAAACTGTAAAGCAACACACAAACATTACTTTTATTCATGGTGATTACTGATGATGATAATGACAATAATTATAATAATTTTAGTGCTGCTGTAGTTTGATCCACAAATCCCAATACAATTATAGGGAATGAAAAGCAACCAATTGGTAGTCAATTACAGATCTGCCTTGCTTGGGATAAGCAGAACCATCAGATCCAAATTCCACCCAATAGAATTCAACAGAAGGCTCACTGTAGCCTCCTCCAACTTCTGCTCTTAGAATAGAGAATCAAGCTGATCAAGTCCCCCCCACCCCCAAGTTTGGAATTTCACATTTATTCCAAAACTTTAAAGAAATTATCTTTTCAGTTTTCTCAGATTTGAATTTAGTCAAAGTCACTTTAATTTCACTGCAATAGAAACAATTTAAACTAAACTATCCATAACATTGAATATTATTCCCCAAGAAAGGTTCAGACTAAAAAGAATATACAACAAACTGTTTGTCTCCTCAATGGCTCAAACACATATAATAAAATGTTTACTAAAACACTGGTATTTGGACTAATTTTGATGTTACCTCTGGGACTCCTAGTTTCCGGCATGCTTCCAAAAAGTTTTCCACATTTCTTCTGCATTTGGCCATGCTAAGTTTGGGCTATAAACACAAAAACAAAAAAAATAATGTATTATTAATGTAGACACTCTATTAATAAGAGGTTACATTTTAAACATTCTACATGGCATAAGTAATACATGAGTACTGGAGAAAAAGAAAATAATACATATGAAAATAGAAGAAAATAAAATATTATCCAGAAACTTCCACCTAGAGATAAAGAGTAGTTAATATTTTGAATTATATCCTTCCTGGTATTGTACATATGCTCACTTTTTAAAATAGGATCACACTGCTGTGTAACTTGCTTTGGGTTCCCCTAAAACTATACCACAATCATCTTTTCCCATTCATATGCATGTGTTTCTAAGTTATTGTTACTAGCTGTCGAGTTGGTCCCTGACTCATGAAAACGGAACAAAATGCTGCCTGATCAACCGCAGGTCAGACTGTTAAGAGAAACAGGGACTTCACTGGCTGATTTTCAAAAGTAGATTGCCAGTCCTTTCTTCTCAATCTGTCTAGATTTAGAAGCACCACTGAAATCTGTTCAGCATCATAGCAAATGCAAGCCTCCAGTGATAGATGATGCACTGGCTGGGAACTGAACCCAGGTCTCCCTGCATGGAAGGTAAGAATTCAACCAATGAAATACGAATGGCCCCTATGTAGGAAAAGAGTAAAATTTACCAGGCTCATCTTCTCCCCACCAGAGCAATGGATTTAATTAGAAAAAGGCAACATCAACGTACACAGCACTGATTAAGAGAGTCTCAAAACCGAGCTTACTCTGGCTATGTTTGACCTCTAAGATGTGGGATACATAAGAAATGCATTTAGTTCATAAGTTTTAATTTTTACATGATAACTTTTAGATCTTTTACTGTTAAATTTTAATATCCCATTATTAAACTCAAACCAAACTCATTGCCGTCAAGTTGGATGCTACTCATAGCGACCCCTCCTTGGGTTTCCGAAGTGGTATCACTATGGAAGTAGATTGCCCAATCTTCCTTCTGAGGAGTGGCTGGTGGGTTTGAACCATCAGCCAGCCTTCTGGCTAGCAGTCAAATGCCATTATTAGTTCCCTTAAAAGAGAAGGTATGACTGATTCTAATGGTCTTGGTGCAGGAGAAATGATTTATCAAGGTGGATCTAGTCAGGGGCAAGTGACATGGCACTCATTCCATCTTTTCACGGTCCAAACTAATCATCATAAAAACTAAATCCACACAGCATTTACTAAAAAAAAAAAAAAAAAAAAAAAAAAAAAAAAAAAAAGAAAAGACTGCCTCCCCTGCCCCCTCAAAACCTGGTGCCATGTAGAACAATTTAGTTTGGAGGCTAAACAAAAATTATTTTTGTTTAGAAAGGATAGTATAGATAGTTTAGAAAGGATTGTATAGAAAGGAAAGTATGTCCCTCAACATGAGCCCTACAGAGATGTGACAAGAAATGCTTGGGTGGTTTGTCTTAGGTTAAAACCACTGGGCCGTGGCATTAAAGCCTCCCACAAACAGAAGAAGGCAGAGACACAGGCAATGCAATGGGCATAACAGAATAGGTCCCAGACCTAGCAGACAGGAGAGGTATAGGTATTTCATCATACAGAGACCCTAGCATTTGTCTCTGTGAACTTCTGTAACCATTATCTTCCTTTATCTATTTACAATTTAAGAAAGTCTGCTGTGAAATTAAAGAGCCCTGGTTGCAAAGTGGTTAAGCAGTTAAGCTGATAACTGAAAGGTCAGCAGTTCAAACCTATCAGACGCTCCATAGGATAAAGATGTGGCAGCCTGCTTCCATAATATTTACAGCCTTGGAAACCCTGTGGGGCAGTTCTACTCTGTCCTATAGAGTCTCTATAGTTGGAAAGGACTCAATGGCAATGGGTTTGGTTTTTCTGGGGTGGCTCTGAAACTAAGGAGCTCTGGTGGTGTAGTGGTAAACCACTCTACTGCTAACCAAAAGGTGAGTGATTGGAATCCATCACCACTTTGCAGGAGAAAGATGTTGTAGTCTGCTTCCATAAAGATCATTGCCTTGGAAACCTTATGGAGCAGTTAAATTCTTTTCTACAAGTTGCTTCAAGTCATGGTGGACTTAACAGCAGTGGGTTTGGTTTGTCTGTTGTTTCTTGGTTTTTTTTGCTCTAAACTTCTGAGGTGACCAACAACAATCAAAATACTTACGCCAACAACAGAAGTCAATGAAAAGTGTTTCAAGCTACATAAAAGAAAATTCACCATAATTGGAACTGAGTAAAGGTCCATTCTAAGAGCATTTCCTAGTTTTGGTTAGAAAAATAATTGCTACAAATGCAATGACTTTAACCCTTGACCTCACCATTGGTCAAAGAATCAAAAATTATACAGAATCAAGATGCTAATGTTTTGCTTATCAAATTGTAAAATACTGACAAATTCATTTTTCTTAGGAACAGTCTCTCAGCATATTGACAAGAGTGATTCTGTTCATCACTATATTCCTACAGATTGGCAAAAAATGGGCAACATTAGTTCCACAAACAAAAAAGTACAATGTTCGATGTCAGCAATAATACATATAGAAAGGACACTTCCACCTAACGCTGATAGTGTAGATACAATCCTATTTCTTATAAGGGTGTTCACATACTCAGTGCTATGGATACCACTGTGCGATAGGAAGACACAATCCTTGTCCTCACTTAGCTCTAGTCTAGATTAGAACATTAACAAAATCTTAACGGTGATGGGGATGCTACAAGAAAGATATGTAAGGAAAAGCATCAAATCCAGCCTTAAAAGAAAGTTGTCTTCAAGATGACTCTGACTCATGGTGACCCCACGTGTGCAGGGTAGAGCTGTGTTCCATACAATTTTCAATGGCCGATTTTTCTCCTCCTGGGTGGACTTGAACTCCTAACCTTTTGGTTAGCAGTGAAGTGTACTAACCGCTTACACCACCCAGGGATATATATACATATTTATGGTAGATTGCGTATAGTAGATACACAGAATATATAGTGTATAAAAAGCAGCTAACAATTAAAACACAACTTCAATGTGGAAAATATGTTAAAGAAATCACAATGCTATCAATGGTTATTTTTGGTTGGTGGAATGAAGGACAGTTTATTTTTCTTCTACATCTCTTTTTCTCCAATGAGCATTTTCCTCATTATTTTTCAAAATTTAAAGATTTTATTAAAATACAAAACAAAACACTTTAAAAGAATGCAGCATTTTCCCCGAAGAATAAAATATTCAAATGTGTATAGATAACATGATTCATAACATCTTTTAGATTCTGCGTAATGACAATTGGAGGCATATAAGTCTATAGTTTCTCTTAATCTGGGAAAAATTAATTAAATGAGAAATTGGCACATAGCTTAGAACAACTTTGTAGCAGTTTGGACACCTCATTTGTAAAAAGTACTCAAACGTTTCACATTGGATTGTGGACCAGAATCTACTAGATAAGGCTGCTGGAGATTTATGGTCAAACAATTCAAAAGAAAAATATACATTTGATAGCATAGAAAAGAATCTGAGAGTTTAAATGGGATCATCAGTTCATTTTTCTACTTCCTAGAGAAAAAAACTAGGACAATAAAGACTGTGAAGCTTTCCTGGAGGGAGGGAAGTGCAGAGAGGCCTCCAACAGGCTTCCACTGGTATTTTATACATGTTGGACCTTGAATAATAAGTTGCCATAGAGTCAATCATGGTGACCCCATGTGTGTCACAGTAGACATGTGCTTCATAGCATTTTCAGTAGTTCATTCTTCAGAAGTAGTTCACCAGGCCTTACGTCTGAGGCACCTGTCGGTGGATTCTGACCTCCAGCCTGCGGTCAGCAGCTGAGTACATTAACCGTTTCTACCACCCAGGGACTCCTCCTTGATATCTGGAGCTCTGAATTCTGAAAATCTATTAGATAATCAGCAATCACAGTAATGGCTGACATTCATGTATGTGTTAATATGCCAAGCACTGTGCCAGGAGCTTTATAGGTAATACCTCTTTAATCCCGACAAGATTATTATTAGTACAGAGAAGGGCAAATTATGTTAAAGAGAGGTTCAGTAACCTGCCCGAGGTCATACAGTTTATAAATACATGAGATTTCAATCCAAGCCACTTAACTCTGGAGACTACATTCTTTTTTTTTTTTTTTTTTTTAATTGTCATTTGGGTGAAGATTTACAGAGCAAACTCACTTTCCATACAGCAGTTCACATATACTTTGTCTCATGTCATTGACCACAGTTTACCACAATGCAACAGCTCCCCTCTCACTTCCTCGCCATAGTTACCTCTTCCCAGTGTCCATCCCTCCATACACTCCTGCCCCCTGAGCTGTCTCCCTGTGCATAAGCAGCCCTTCTTTCTCCCATGATTGTTCTCTCCAAGAAGTGTATCTACTTGAGGTAAATGTTCAACTCATATGCCTGTATTTTGCTTGGCTGGAAACCACAGGCAAGGGTTCAATTCCAGACCTGAAGGGCAGCAAGGGGCCATAGTCTCAGTGGTTCCACCAGGCTCTATCGGACCAGCAAACCTGGTCCCCACCTTTTTTTTTTCTCCAAATGATTTTGAGTTTTGTTCCACATTGTTCTCCCTCTCTATCAAGGATCTCCTACATAGATCCCCTTCCAAGTGGATGACAGCGGTAGCCAGCCACCATCTAGTTCTTCTGGTCTCATTGTTGTATAGGCTGCAGACTGGATGGTGTACGGAGCCTACATTCTTAACCCCTAAATTCCTCTGTCTCTCCTAACAAATAAATTGTGTGGCTAGTGATTCTCTCACTCTTCTCCACATGTCTAAAGCCTACATGTGTGTCAAAGACCAGCTTATCCCTGATTCTCCCATCCTTACCTAAACTACCATAAAACAGAATCTAGCCTTCATTTGGCTCCCGACATGCTCTGTGATATGAAGGAAAAGTATCCCTCTGGGTAGTGTCTTAGGGTGGTGTGCTTAAGTGCTTGTCTGCTAACTGAAAGGAGAAAGATGAGGCAGTATGCTTCTATAAAGATGTATGGCTTTGGAAAACCTGTGAGGCAGTTCTATTCAGTCCTATCGGGTCACTATGCATCAGATTCATCTCAACGGCAGTGACTTTGGTTTTGGTTTTTACAGAGGAAATAGGAACAACAACAGAAGAGATGAGAATGGTGAGGGTTGCAGCAGAGTCTCTGTCATTTTCAGTTGTTCCACTGTCTCCCTGTCTTAGTTCTCCAATGCTGCTATAACAGAAATATCACAAGTGGATGACTTTAACAAACATAAATTTATTTTCTTACAGTTTAGAAGGCTGCAAGTCTGAATTCATAGTGCTGGCTCTAGGAGAAAATTAGGCTAGAAGTCTGACTTCAGAGTGTTGGCTCTACAGGATGGGTGGAGGCCCCCTGACTTTGGGTTTAAGCTTTGCCTTCCAGGCCCACTGGAGCAAGCTGGAGGCTTCTCCTGACTCATGCTGCTGCTGGCTGCTGAGGCTGACAAACCCAAGATCATCAGGTAAAATGGAACAATCCCAAGATCAACAGGCAGCACAGCAGGCTACTGGTTCAAGTCCAGGAACTAGAGGTGAGGACTGAACCAAATGCAGGATCCTTTCTATATATACTGGAATCAGGCCACACCCTAAATACAACTCTCCTTCAACTGATTAACTGCTCACAGCAGATTCCACCACGGAAGTGATTACACCACATCCAATCTCATGTGGAAGAAGCACATCCAGCTGCCATGCCACTCAAAATCATGGCCCAGCCAAGGAGACACACAACCTAACTACACTCCCCAGTATCTCCAACATATCCTTCTGCACAGTGAGTAGGGTAGTCAAGGAATTGCTACATTAATGATTGGCTGATTGACCTCTGGCTTCACGCATTATTAATGATATTTTCAATAAAATCCACATCTTTTCAGGGCTATTCTAAAACCCCAAATAATGAGTAACGGAAAGAGATTATATTTGGCAGAGAAGTTAACAACCAGAAAGCCCTTTCTGAAAAGATGACTTTTAACTGTTGATAGAACCATATGAGAAAGAAGTCTTTATGTTCCCACAGTTTTAAAGTTAGCACTGTAATGTGAAAGTGATTTGCATTTCCCTCAAAAGAAATTCTTCTTCTCTTCTTAATGTAATTATTTCAACATATTCTCCCTTCCCACAGTGAAAAGCTGGTTTGTTGTCTCATTCAGACCAGTTTCTATTCTGTTTTTCTAGTTGTTTGAGGCATATGGTAGAAAGGATCTGAGCAGGGCCCTGGTAATCCCAGTGGCATCCATTAACCAGAGTATGCTCCATGTAAAAGTTAGTTTCCCTCTATGGTGTTACTTACAACTGCTGGTGAGGGGACATGGATGCTTGCGACAGACCGTGGGCGGATGTGGTTGACTAGATGGCAGAGGACTACTCCGTCCATGAGTGCTGCCCCGAGGTCCTCATGCAGGCTGACCTTGAGTCTCATCTCAATGCTCTGGTGGAGTAATCAGAAAGAAGCCTGTGGTGAGCAGCTTTCATCACCTGAGACAACTGAGGTAAAATGTAGTTAAAGGTTTTTGTGAACTTAGACATGGACTTCATTATGAAGGAAAAAGTGTAAGTACATCCAGAAAACACTGAACACTATTTACATCTTTTCAAAATATTTTAAAGTAAAATTCCCTCAGTATAAAAGGAAATTCACTTAGATCTAAAATGTTTTATTAATAGAATGAAAGCAATAATGGAATAATTGATAGGGTTCAAGATTTCTTTGTTGTTATGTGCTGTTGAGTCGGACCTGACTCATAGTGACCCCTCCTTGGGTTTCCGAGGAGGTATCACTACAGAAGTAGATTGCTCAACCTCTTAGTCTTGGCTATAAAATGTAAAAACAGAATGAACTGACAAATGAAAACCAAATATGACCAGTTCAGACAGTAAAGAGCAGAGTAAGGTCGAAGGGATGCTTTTGTGTTAGACTGTGTTTTAGTTCAGACATTTATTTATTTGTTCCCCTTTCTTAAACTTTTTCATTGGAGATAACTGTAGATCTATATACCAGCTGTAAACCAGTTACTGTTGAGTTAATTCTGATTCATGCGAGCGGGTGCATCAGAGCAGCACTGTGCTCTACAGACTGTTCAATGGCTGGCTTTTCAGAAGGATATTGCATACCCTTTCTTCTGAGATGCCTCTGAGTAGACTCCAACTTCGAACATTATGTCAAGTAAGTGCATTAACTGTTCATACCCCAGTGCAATATCAGAACCAGATACTGGCATTGTTACAGTCAAGATACTAAACATTTCCATCACTACAAGGATCTTCATAGCCCTTTTATAGTGACAAATGCCTCCTGCCCCCACCCCCTCAACCACTGATCTCTATTTCTATAATTTTGTGACATCAAGAATGTCATATAACTTGCAGGACATTATGCTGAGTGAAATAAGTCAATCACAGAAGAACAAATATTGTATTACTCTACTATTGTGAAAAGTCAAGGAAAGGTTTAGATACAGAATGAAACTTTCTTTGCTGGTTACCAGGGGTGGGAGGGGAGAGAAGGGAACATTGCTAGATAGATGGAGACAAGTATTGATTTGGGTGAAGGGAATGTGAGTGATCAACACAGTGGCATTGAGGAAGAGGGAGACATAGAGAGGTACATGGAGATACAGACAACAAAGATGAACCCTTTTGCATGTACAGCACAGTGTTGTCAGTGAAGGCAAACACTAATCTAGGGTGGATAGATGAGTGGACAGGCTGAACAATCAGATATGTCTAGGCAGGGTGGAGTGTGCCCAGGACCATGTACAGGGTTGACGGATGGTGTTTCTACAAATGTATCCGTATATTTTGTAAGAATGTATACTTTCTATATATACTAATATATAGAAAGTTGACAAGGGACAAGGTTGTGGTGACTTCTTGGCCACAGCCAGCTACCTGGAGGAAATAGTTGGACCTGTGGGCTCAGATCACAGGGCACATCAAGCTCAATTGGCATAACATACTACACAAAAACATTAATCCACATCCTACTTTGGTAAGTAGTGACTGGGATCTTAAAAGCTTGCAAGCAGCCATCTAGATGCAATGATGGGTCTCTCCTTGTCCAGAGCAGAGAATAATGAAGAAAACCAAAGACACATGGAAACAATTAGTCCAAGGCACTGACAGACCATGCGATCCTCAGCCCATATGGCCATGAGACCAGAAGAACTAGATGGTGCCTGGCTACCACTGTCAACCTCTCAGAGGGGGATCTGTGTAGGAGATCCTGTGTAGGAAGAACAATGTGGAAGAAAACTCCAAATCATTTAAAAAAAAAAAAGAGGGACTAGGTTTGCTGGTCTGAGAGAGCCTGGTGAAAACCATGAGATTATGGCCCCTAGGTGCCCTTCAGGTCTGGAATTGAACTAAATCCTGTGGCTTCCAGCCAAATGAAAGACTGGCATATAGGCTGAACATTTTCATCAGCTAGATACACTCCTTGGAGAGAGCAGAAGGGCAGTGTATGCACAGGGAGACCGTAGGGGATAGGGGGGCAGAAGTGCATGGGAGGGAAGGACACAGGGAAGAGGTAACTATGGGGAGGAAGTGGGAGGGGAGCTGTTACACTGTGGGAAATTGCAGTCAATGTCATGAGACAAAATGTATATCAACTGCTGTATGGAAAATGAATTTGCTCTGTAAACTTTCCCTCAAATCACAATTAAAAAAAAAAAAAAAGAATGTCATGTAAGTGGAAATATACAGTATGTAACCTTTTGGAACTGGCTTTTTTCACTCAGCATAAGTCTCTGGAGATTCACCTAGATGATCTAAATACCACAGTAAAAGGGTATCCGGGTTGTTTCCAGTTTTTGGCTATGACAGGTAAAGCTGGAGTAAACATTTCTGTACTTTTGTGTGTGTATGCAAACATCAGTTTCCATTTCTGGTTTTCAGTTTTTGTCCTGATGCTCAAAAATACAATTTTTGGGTCTCAGAGTAGTTGCTTTTTTTTTTTTTTTAAGAAACTGTAACATGTCTTCTAGAATGTCTGTTACATTTTACATTCCCAAAAGCAATGTATGTGTTTTGGTTCTCTAGTGCTGCTCTAACAGAAAATACCACAAATGGGTTGCTTCAACCAACAGGGATTTATTCCTACAGTTTAGGAGGCTAGAAGTCCAAGTTCAAAGTGCTGGCTCTAGGGGCTGGGTGAAGGCCCCTCGACCTTGGCTTTAGCTCTGCTTCTTGCTCCTGTGCTACTGGAGCTATAGGCATCTCTTAACTCAGACAGCTGCTGGCTGCTGAGGCTGACAAACCCAAGGTTGACAAGTAAAATGGCACAGTCCCGATGTTACAAGCAAGCCACTAACTCAAGCTCCAAAACTATCCTAAGATCACTAGGCAACATGGAAGGCCACTGAGATGAAGACTCAGCCAAATGCAGGATCCAGATGTGCCAAAAAGCTCAGAGACCCTTCTCAAAGCTGTCTTATATACTGGAAGCAGACCACATTCCTAAGGCAGCTACTCAGCTGCTTACTGCAGATTTCACCATGGGGTTGATTACTAGTCTCATCATGGGGAGTAACTACATCCAGCTGCGCAGCCACTCAAACCAGGCCTAGCCAAGTTGACACAAAACTTAACTACCACAGTATGAATGTCTAACCCTTCTGCATTCTTGACAGCATTTGATGTTTTCACCATTTTTAAAAAGTCATTCTGATAGGTGTAGTGATAACTCACTATGGCTTTAATTTCATGTGCTTATTTGCCATCTGAATACACCTTACGAGGAGCCCTGGTGGCACAATTGTGAAGAGCTTGACTACTAACTGAAAGGTTGGCAGTTTGAACCCACCCTGTGGCTCTGTGGGAGCACAGAACTGGAGATATGCTTCTGTAAAAATTACACCAAGAAAACTCTATAGGGCAGTTCTACTTTGTTACATGGGATTGCTGAGTTGGAATCAATTCAACAGCACCCAACAACAACAAAAACACTGCTTTCTTTACAGAAGATTTCAAAGGATATTTTTGGTTTAAAATTTAAGGTCTCATGACTATCTTAGGGTGATAGTTTCAGGGGTTCATCCAGCCTCAATGGCTACAGAGAGGCTGGATTCTATGAGAATTTGAAATTCTCTTCTGTATTTTCCCCCTTTTGATCAGGATTCTGCTATAGAATCTTTGATCATAACATTCAGTAAAGGTAGGTGGGCACCATCCAGTTCTGATCTCAAGGCAAAGGAGACAACTGTTCATGGAGGCAAACAGACATACATTCCATTTCCTTCTCCTACTCCTCACTCTCTTACTTCCTCTTTTGCTTCAAGAAAATAGAGACTGATTGTATCTTGGATGGCTACTTACAAGCTTTTAAGACTCCAGGTACTATGCCACAAACTAGGAGGCAGAATAACCAAAAAACCAAACTCACTGCCATCAAATTGATTCTGACTTATAGTAACCCCCATTGGGTTTCCGAGGCAGTAAATCTTTACAGAAGTAGATTGCCCTGTCTTCCTTCTACGGAGTGGTTAGTGGGTTTGAACCACCAGCTTTATGGTTAGTAGTCAAATGCCTTAGGCACTGCACCACCAGAGATCCTTAGGAGGTAGAACAGAAGCATTAAAAACAGTATTAGGTCAATTACCTAGGATGTCCTATGTAACCATAACCCTAAAACTCCAAACCAAGAAACTAAACCCTATGACATGTTTGTTTGTACATAAGCAGGCTCAGAAGTTGCTAAAAAAAAAAAGAGAAATCAACTTTGATGAAATTCAACTTATCAATTTTTTCCATTTTGGATTATGTTTTCTGCATCAAGTCTAAGAATTCTTTGCTTAGCATCTAGATCCTGAAAATTTTTCTCCTATATTATTTTCTAGTTTTGTATATTACATTTAAGTTGGTGATCCATTCTGACTTAATTTTTGGATAAGGTGTCAGACTTAGGTCAGGGCTCATTATTTTTGCCTATGGCTGTTCAGTTGCTGCAGCATTATTAGCTGGAAAGTACTGTTACTGAATTGCTTTTGCACCTTTGTCCAAATTCAGTTGGGCATATTTGTGTGGGTGTAGTTCTAGGTTTTCAGTACTACTCCACTGATCTAGGTATCTATCTCTCTGCTAATAACTAATTCCAAATTAAAAAAAAAAAACCAAACATTGCTATTGAATTGATTCTGATTCACAGTGACCCTACAGGACAGAGTAGAACTGCCTGATAGGATTCCCAAAGCTTCTTTACAGAAGCCACATCTTTCTCCCACCAAACAGCTGGTAGGTTCAAATTGCCGACCTTTAGATTAGCAGCCAAACCTTATAATCATTGCAACCACCAGGGCTCTTAGAATTATTCAGAGGCCAAAATTCACCAATGATCAATTTCTAATTTGTCATTTTTACTGAGGTATCATTTTATGTACCACAACTGTGGCCAATTTTAAAGCAGTTCTTTAAAAAAATACAAAAAGGAATTTG